AGCACTGTTCCACCACGAGGTGAGCAGAGCTGTCCCCCAGCCAGAGACACGCGCCGCACGAGCCCTCGCGGGGGAGGATGCTGAGAGGTGCTGGGAGGACACTGGAGCTGCTCTGCTCCCTGCCAGCACTCACTGGAGTGCCCCACCAACCCTCACCACCACACAGACCAGCACTTCAGGCCCACTGGGCCTCAGGGGGTCCAGTGCCCCACGCTCCCCCACAGGAGGCCTCACCTCCCACAGATGTCCTCAGAGAAGAAGAGCAGAGCAACTGGGGGTGAGCGTGTGTTTGCCAGGGCTGGGGCAGCTGGGACCTCTCCAGTGGGTTTACAGCCCCCAAACCAGAGGAGGTGCTGAGGTAGGAGGTGTCCACACACAGGTAATCCTCACCCCACTGCTGCTCAGGGGAGCACACACACGATGCTTTGGTGCCTCTGGATGTCACCAAAGACAAACAATGCTCAGGGGGTTTCTAAACCAATTTTTAAATTCAGATTTCTCTGAAGACTACAACCTTGCATCAGCTGGATTAGGAAATGAGCAGCGACAGCCCCGTGTAAACCCCTGAAGGACCAGCTGCAGCTGAGGGAAGGCAGGCAGGAGGGGAAGGCTGCAGGACCTGTCTCTGAATCCAGTCGCTCCTCCCAGCACATGTACTGTGTCTGTCTCCCTCTGGGCACTGGACACTCCAGACTCAGCAGGTACCTGACCTGAGCTGCTCCAGGCTGCCCACCTGGCCTGGCCCAGAGCAGGTCACTTGTCCCACCGTTCTGAGGAAGCTCTGGGTGCTCCTGCTGTGCCTGCCACAGCACAGGTAGGAGACCTGGGGCTCAGCTAGTCCTTCCCTGCCAGTCCCAGGGTGATCCCTGCTGAGCTGAGCAGAAGCTCTTGGGCTCCTCTGCAGTGAGGACATTTATTTAGCTAAAACAGATGACCCACTTCTTTCTTCAACCCTCCTGCCAGGACCAGGTACCACCACAAACAAACGATCCTGGGTACAGGGCTGTCCCAAACCACCACCCAGCCAGGCAGGCACTGCCCTACCCCACAGACCTGCAGAAACAAGGGAAAAATGAGCAGATTGGGAGATCTGAAGTGTGGGGAAAGGCCACTTTCTGCCTCTCTCTCGGATGTGTCTGATGTATTTTAACGTTTTAAAACCAGCCTCGGATAGCAGTAACCTACATTTAAAAATCCATCGCCTCTACTTGTGAGGCAGTTTGGGAAACAAGGCAGTAAAGCCACTCCCAGGCTACACCACCCTAACTCCTGAAAAAAAAAAAGGAAGGGAAATAAAAAGACATCTCAGCAACTGAGCAGACTGACATGCTGCTCAGATTAACGGAGTGCTGGCTCCTGTTGCACAGAACTGCACAAACCCCAGTGTGGGTCGTGGCACAAGTCAACACCATTCCCACACCAGAAAGCACCTGCAAAGGATTCACCCATGTACTTCTGTCGGCTGCAGGTCCTGCTTACCATCCACACACACATGTGAAGGACTCACAAAGGCTGTGCTTGAGCTGAAATGCTAAGTCAGCCTCATGAAAAAACAAATACTTTGAAATATCATTTGCTGCAGAGGTCTGTGACTTCCTCAAAAACATTCCAAGTGCAAAACCTATCAGGGGATGGTAAGTGGCAAACACTGATTAGCTACGATAATCAGCATTTCACTAAAAGGAAATACCCAAAGGAAAATCAAAATATTCTGTTTTCTCTTTTTTAGTGAAATATGTACGTTTTATTTTCATTTTGTTCCACTGGAGCAGAGGAGAGAGATAAATGAAAGATGAGAGCCATAATCCATGAGAGCACTCTAGGACTTGCACAGATAGTGAAATTTAACACTGACAGATATGACAGCAACTCATCTCAGAGGCTGAGCTCTGCTCTGGAACCGGGGACAGTGCTGAAAAGAATAGGGATAAAGAACTTTTATCAGCTTCAGCTGGTAAGAGAGGCAAGGTGTAAAAATAGCATTGTAAACCAAGAGGAAAAAAACCTCTGTAGTTGCTTTCCTGCCATTTTAGTCTTCAAACTGCTGCTGTCACAGCAGAGTGGAGTTCAAGTTAAGTATTAGCCACCACAAAATTCCCACAATTATTTACCCTCACAGTAAAGAATTTCTTCCTCAAATCTGACCTAAACCTCTCCTCAGTCAGTTCAAAGCCATTTCCCTTGTCCTGTCTCTCCAGGCTCTCTGCACCTTCCTTGTTGGCTGCTGTTAGGTGCTGACAGGCCACGATTAGGTCACCCTGAAACCTTCTGCTCTCCAGCTGAACAACCTCCCTCAGCCTCAGTCAGGATCCAACACTTGCCTGGGAAACACAAAGCACACGAACAGGCAACGCTGCAGAAACTGGTGAACACTGATGTAGGGAAGGTGTCTCCAAGCTCTTCAGAGCACCCTGACACAGATGACTGCGGGTCCTAATTAGCACTTTCAGTGTGTTTATCTATACACATATACAAAACGTTGTTTATACACACACACAAAGCAACTCAGCTGAAATCAGATTTTTTTTCACATACTTCTTGTGTTTATCTATACACATATACAAAACATTGTTGTTTATACACACACACAAAGCAGCTCAGCTGAAATCAGATTTTTTTCACATACTTCCGGAGCTGAAGGGATTTCTTTTCCCATTTTGCTATACTTTAACAATGTATTCACTACAGAGCAGTTTCATAATTAAAGGCCTTTAATTAAAGAAGATTAATTAAACATGAGATAGGCACAAATACTAAACAAACTGCTCAGAGAAAGCCTGGAATCTGACCCACCAAAATGACTTTCTATGCAATTACACACGCTGTGAATTACTGTTTGTAGATAATTGCCTTGGCTGTCTCCTTAAAGTCAGCCGACCACGCACGAAAGTTAAGTCACATCAAACCAAGAAAAGAAGACAGGGCTGATTGGACTTGCAGTGAAATGTGTTCATTTTTTGTGTATCTCAGCATTCACACATTGCTGGTTCAAAATCATTCACCAGTGCTCAACAAAATGGACAAAGAGGCAACACTTAGGTCCCACCCCCAGGAGTGGGGAATTTGAAGTGGTTCAGGGATGTCTGGCACTGTTCCCCTGGCAGACAGGGTCAGGCCAGCTCTGCACCCAAACCCACCCACACTGCACGGAAAGCAGCACGGAAAGGAGGTTATTGACCACATCTCCAGAGGTATCTACACTCACTCAGAAAGTCACAATTTCACAGCCACCAGTGGGAACTGCAAAGGCACCTGGGGAAGAAGGGCACACCATCCAGGAAGCTTCCACACAAGGAGTGGGAGCCCTACAAAGAGCAGTGTGTACACCTACAGACCGAGACTTTCGCTGACAAGGGAAAGAAATAAACAAACAACCATCCCAAAACCCCCTACAACCCTACTAGTTCAGTAATAATTTTCTGTTTCTGGATGTTATCTATTTTTAGGTCTTTGAAAATTTTCTTCTTAGACCACATGAATGGGTTTATCTGCATACGGATTAGAGATTTCCTAGACTGTTTTCCAACTTCATTATAAACTATTCAGTGAGAGAAAGGTGTGAAACTGACAGACAGATATTTAGGACCCTTTTCCCCTAAAGGAATAAGGGAACAGAAACCAGTGCAGGGATGAATTCCACCAGAGGAAACTGAAGTTCTAATATAACCTCCAAGGCACATGCCAAGAGTCACCTGCCGAGGCCTCTCCATTAGCAAAATCACCTCAAACTCATACCAAGACCTGTGGAAGAACAGAAGGCAACTGGCTGCAATAGCTGCCTAATTTATTTACTCTTTTAACTGGAAGACACAAACAATCTTTTCAAAAGGTCGCTGTGTGTGGAAGGAGCCAGCCAGGGCAAAATGGAAGTCCTGCAGTGAAATGCAATGTGCCTGACCAGACTTAGAGACGAGTGTACCTACACAGGTTTGGTGCCTGGCATTTAAATCAGACTTCCAGGATTGTGACATTTAAAAGCACCTGAGAATGAATTTTGCTCTACGGCAATTTTTGATCACTGCTGCCTTCCAGAGCCAAAATCTCACTATCAGCATGTGTAGCACAGGCAGCAAGTCAAACAAACAGTTTCATGAATAAAGTTAGAGGCAGAATGTGTCCAACACATTTTTCCCCTGCTACCTGGTGGCATATGTAACTGCAATTTGAAGCACAGGCAAATTACAGGCATGAGCCCAGAAAGTCTGCAGAGATTTAAACTGCTTAAAGATAACATTAGTTTCCTCATACTGCTTATGCTCTAAGGGCATTACTTGGTTTTCGAGCCACCTTGAAATCCTGGTGACAAATGTTGTGGTCACTCTTCCCCCCTCCCTGGGCACTGAACCAGCCTTTGAAAAGTTACTGCTCAGAGACAACAGTCGCTGAGCTCTGACTGCTATTTTCACTCCCTCACTATGCAAATACTGAAAATCTGAAATACTGAATACTGAAAATCCTGTGTGCAAGCTAAAAATAAATGGGCCTGATGACCAAAACCATGCTCTGTAAGAAAAATGCTGGTGATCTAATGCAAACATGAGTTTCAGAGGCAGCAATGTTTTCCTTGGACCCACACACCCCTGTGTGCTGCACTGTCCCTCAGCTGTGGGGACACCAGGGCCTGGGGGCTGAGCTCCCAGCACAGCCCTGGTCACAGCCCCTCTGGGCAGTCCCTGAGCACACCAAACACACCATTGCATCAGAGCCTTCACACAACAATAACAGCTACTTCATGAAGCTCTGTAAGTCACCAAACCTCCAGGAAGAGAATTATGCTACACTCAACCACCACTAAAAGATAATCAACACTCATCAAACACACGTTTGAGACTGATGAAGTACCACCTCAAAACCAGCAAACAAAGCTTACAACAGTCTTCAATCCACAATGAGCTCAGTTTCAACTGAATCCAAGCTGCTGCTTCATCTCAACCATTGCTTCTCCCCTTACCACAGAGAGACCTTCCCTTTTTTATTATGATTATTGAAAGAACTCTTACCTCTCCAGCTCGTATTCCTTCATTCCAGCTTTTACTGCCTTCATTACCTGTAAGATACACATTAACACGGGACAATCATAGCAGGAGGGACTCTCATATTTATAAATTTATGACTTACGACTATCTCCAGAGGAACCTACATTACAAAAATATCATCTGCACTTCATTTAAATTTACATCAGTGGATGCATTTTAAAACTACATTAGAACCCAATCCATTTTAATCTTAATAAATGCCTGCAGTCTCCAGCAATAAAGCAAGTCTAATTGCCAAGCTACTACATCCTAATGAAGTGCAGCTCATCAAAACACCAATGTTTAATTCTGAAAGCTCCAGCAAACTTGGCAGCAAGTTTTGTTTCATTCCAGCAAAACTAACTGAACTGGAATATACTACAATGGGAGATTCTCTTTTGTACTTTGCAGTCTGAACCAACGGAAAACTGGTAGAGTTAACACTAATTTACAACTCAAATCTGAGTTTTGCTCCCGGATTTTCTAAGAATGCTTTATTCTCCTTTGCCTGTTTCTGTATTACAGAAGCTCCAGCAGCTGCTCTATGGAACAAATACTCTCAGATGTGACACAATTGTTCAAGGATGGTGGAGAACAAGGAGTATGAATGCAAATTACTACCCCTTGACTTTGCAATTTTACATTATTCACTTTCAAACGTTGTTAACACTTCAGAAATCCAAGAGCAGGAACAAAGCCAACAGTAACCTCACCAGCCACTCCACCTGAGCTCCCTCTGCTCTCTGCTCAGCACTGCTGTGGAGCACAGGAGTGAGGCCCCAGCTGGGCCTGGCAGCAGCACCAGGAGAGCAGCCCTGCCAGGAGCCTGGGCTCGTGGGCACAGGACAGCAGGGCCCAGCAGCACCCAGGGGCACATTCCCCCCGAGCAGCAGCCAAGGGAGCACTGAGCATGGAAACACTCCAGTCTGTAAGGGCCTGGAGAGAGCTCCCTGCTGGGCAAGCTTCTCTGAGCTGCACATGCTGATGTGGGCCAGAATAATCTTGATTTCTTCTTTCTCCATCATTCTGCAGGTATTGGTGCACACGGGACAGACAGACTGCAGGCAGGTCACCTTCTGCTGAGGCTCCAGCTCTCACCCCAAACCACACTCCATTTCTCACACATCACAAATGCATCAGTGAGTTCAAGGACAACACAAGGTATATTACTGGGCTGTAATAGGAGGGATATTATCCTCTTATTTCTATCCAGCCTTTCCATTACTTTATTACTAAGCAATTCAGGGTTGCTGGGAACATTTTCTGAGTACCACTGCTACACTAAGAGTAAAAATTATTAACAGCAAAGGATCCATTACCTCTTTATGAGCTTCACTGGAGATTTTATTGGTGTAGCGCAGAACTTCCAACTCCATGTCTGTCTTAATCACACGACTTAAAGAAAAGCAGAACAGATAAGCACGTTAGGCTGAAACTCCACAGCTTAAGAATTCCAAATTAAAAAAACTGAAAATCATATGCATCACCTATGGTAGAATTAGACCAAGCACACCTCACAAGCAAACAGCTATTGCAGTGCTCGTGGCAGCAAAGTTTCCTTGGCATTCATTCAGCATTAGCAAACAGCCTTACAAAGGCAGTCACAAGCACTGCAAACACCAGCCTGCCTCACTTAATACTAAGGGACTTGGTTTGATCAAGAGTTTTCAGCTCATCCTACAGCACATTAGGAGCAAACCCAAGGCATTGCTGCATTTGTCATGGCTCAGACACTACTTCAAATGGAACATTTCTACAAGCATACCCGATTTGCCTTTTAAACACAACTTGAAACTAGTTTACGTCATTAAACTCCCAGAGCTCCAGAAGTTCTGTTCAGCACAATCCCAACTCCCACCTACCTGCAACCCCTCACAAGGTGGGCAGGGGGTGGTGTGAAGAAATGCTATTTCTGCCTGGTATTAAACCCCCAAACCACTAAATTCAGAACCCACAGCAGCAGTGATTACAGCCACCCTGCCCATTCTCTCACACGCTCCTGAAGGGAAAAAACCCACACAAACACCGCCAAACAAACCAACCCCCCAAAGCCCCATCCTGCTCCTTGTGCCTCATGAAATACTGAATTTGCATATGTTTATGAGACATTCTAGAAAAATTGCCATTTAACTCTCATCTACTACATGTATTTCTGTAAATAAAAGCAGCTCTTCAGTGTGACATGCACAGGGAAGAACACACAGTTCAGTAACTTCTGTCAAAAAGCACATGCTGAATTCCCAATACTTGTCATGCCCACCTCCAAGGCAGCTGTGAGGTACACACTTAGCGTTTACAAAGTACAGAACTACCTCTACTGAACTGCATGAAGATACTTAAACTGCATTTTCCAGCTTCACTCCAGAGCTTGCAGAAGTTACAAAGCACCAGAACTGTTACGCTTTGAAAGTGCCACCAAGACACCCTTTTTTATTGCAACATGCTCCTACTCACACTGCTGTAGAAAACTATTTACTGTATTTCTGCTCCGGCAGTTTGTTTTAATGAGCCCAGAAAGAGGTTTCTGAGCCCTCAGTGCCTCTGATGTGTGACCAGAGCATTTCCCACTGACAGCATCACCATGGCACAGCCACTCCCTGCAACACCACCTCTGGCCAGAGCAAAGGTACCCTGTAAAACCCTGCCTTCCATCAAAATGCTTTCACAAACACAGCAGAGGGGAATGGATTGACTTTCCCAGTCAACTGGAGTATGACACAAAATAATCATTATGCACATTGAGAAGTACAAGGTTTTAAAATGCACAGTGAGGGGATAAAATTACCCTGGGGTGGTAAAACCTGCTGACCATGGGTGAGGAAACAAACTTGTCTTTCAGCCAAGACATAAAGAACAGTGGCTCAACAATACTCCAGTTAGAATGAGGCAGGAAAGGCTTACAGGTTTTTTCAACTCCTGTTCTTCAGCAGACTCCAAGTGCTAGCAGGGTAATTTAATACTTGTTTGAGGTGCTTTTATATTACTTTCAATACACAGTACATATCCCTGATCTGCAAGTGCCTGAAAAATAGGTTGTTTCATAATTCAGTTGTCTAATCTCTTTGTTGGAATCTGCTAGTGATGGAAGTTAGCAACTGCTCCACAGCAAGTGCAAACAGTATTAGAACCCATTTTCCTTGGCGAGGACAAAAGGCTTCAGGGTCAAGGTATTTATTTCAGATCACAAATTCTCAGGTATCATTTTGAATACAGAAATTCATGCTCAGGCTCAGACAATTTTTAAGCAATGCATCCCCTTAATTTACACGAGGTCAGGCACCAAAACATTTCACAGAGAAATATTTAGTCATTCTGCAACCAACAAAAATCACTACCCAACCGTGGCAGGGAAGAGAAGGAGGATGTACAGCTGTGCAGGGAACATAATCAACTACACCCTCCACTAGATACTGAAAAGGAAATGTCACTGGGCTCCTATGTTACAGTGGTACTGTTGCTGGAGCTCCCTCAGCATGTCTGGGTGGCAGAAGGGCATGTATTGCACCACCTTCTCATGGGTTTGATGGTGCACAAAAGCAGCTCCCTCCCTCCCAAGCCAGGTTTGACCCAGTGCTGACCAAGCACAGTGCTTGGCACCTCAGGGCAATCTTGCAGGTGATGAGTGTCCACAGTTCTCATCATGTCCATTCCTCCTTATCCTTCTGGAAATACGATGCTCAGACCACCTGGTAAGTACAGATGCTGCCCACGAACACAGCCCCCACAGTCCTGCCTTCTCTTCACCCTCTCTCACCTCTGCTGCTACCTTTCCACTCTTTATTTATAGAAATTTCTCTACCACAGTTGATACATTTATGTTCTTCTGCAATGCACAAGAATTTGCCAACTGAGTCAGCATCAAAGCCAGCAAATACAGCAAAAAACCAAACGTGCAAAGGAGAGTCATCTGAGTCAGCATCAAAGCCAGCAAATACAGCAAGAAACCAAAAGTGCAAAGGAGAGTCATGACAGCACAATTCTGGAAGAGGGTGCATGAACACCACACACAGGAGTTCAGAAAGATGCTAAGAGGTTTACAACATAGATTAAAAACCCTCTGAAAGCACAAAGAGCATACACAGCTTTAAGACATTAACATACGGATCACTTTCCCCAAAGAAACAATTAGAGCTCTCCAAAGCAATGCAAAAGGCAGAGCATGTGATCACATCCCATTTTCCCTGGGGTTCCAGGAGACACAGGATGCACAGGCAGAGTGAGCTGTGCAGTGCTAGGTGAGCACTCCCTTGAGCAGGAGGCTGGACCAGACGACCCACTGTGGTCCCTCCCAGGCTGATTCTGCAGCTCTGTGTGTATGCAGTGCTTAGCTCCTAGCACTACCCACCAGGGTAGACACACACTGGCAAAGCACAGCAACAAAAGGCCATTTTGCTAAGCACTAGGGTAGAAAAATCTTCCTTCTGACTACCAGGGAAACAATGTGGACAAGTTTGAAGTTTGTCCTCCGTTAGATGGCATTTTCTTTTCAAGGCACTGAAATTAATACTGAGCATACACATTCACCATCAAATTTGAAATGGAAGCCCTTAAATTTAACATGAAAGCTTTTAAATCTCTTTGGAAACACACTCAATAAAATTACAAAAACCCCAAGGGAAAACACCCTCTGCAAACTGCTGAAACCCAGCCCAAGGTCAAATTCTGCTAGGTTTTGTCTCTAAGTTCCATATCAGGACAGAATATGTTGAGATCTTGAAAGAGGATGAGTAAGCAAGGGAGGCAACAGATCCTTAATCACAAAAGCTTTGCCCCATGTCAGTACAGAAGCATTTCTGCCTGCATTTCATTAGAGGACTGTTTAAGACAAGAGCTGCCTCTTGTAGCTCGCAGTTCTCCCTGGCTGGCTCAGCCAGCTCAGCCATGTCATCTTTGCTGGAGATCTGACAGACTGGCAGAGCTTTCCTGACAAGTTCCCTGTAAAACACAGCAGTTCAGAGCAGAATTTGAAATGATATGCATCCCTCCAAGCAGATGATTCAAATGAAGCAATTTCCTACCCTAGAATATAACCCAAAAAATTCATCTTCCTAAAAGAAAAATTTTCTTCATTCTAAAAATATTATTGCTTCCCAAAGAAATTTTCTTGGGCAACAACTTGACATGCTAAGGAGATTTCAGCTTTAGTGAGCTTCAATATACATAACCTGTCATTCACCTATTGATCTCACCAGACACTTAAACCCCAACGACACTCTTTAACATGAAAGCCACCAAACTCAATAAAACCTTTTAAGACACTTTTGAATGCAAATCTGAACTTTGGCTTCACTTAGAATTCCCCTCCTGGAAAGCAGGTGGAGGGAAGGTGTGTACCAAGCATCCCTCCTGCATGAGACTGCAGGGAGGACCAACTCAGACTTCCAGGCAAGGACCTCATCATGTTTCTCCCTACCTGAGCTTCCTGAAGAACATTCAATCCTGCATTAATCGAAACCACAGAAGACAAAAGCTTATCAGGTGACTCCTTGGAAAGGTGGATTTAATCAGACTGAAAGGGAAGCAGTTTGTAACCCTAATCCAGAGCCTTCTGCAGCTACAATTGTCATCTCTCTCCCTGTGGTACTGCTGTGTCTACAGAGCAAAGCTTGATGTCAGACAGGGCTCTCTCCAGATCCCCTTCCTTGCCCCTGCAAAAACAACTGCAATAAAGCAGGAAAACAAGAGGAGCACCAAGATGACACCTTCAGGTTAAGGATGCAGCTCCCTCCTCTGCTCCCCAGACAGCCTCTCACGCCGCTGGAGAATCCTGCTCTGGCTGCTGGCACAGGGAGTGAGGTGCCAGAGGCTGAGAGCTCCCAGTGCCCTCAAACAACCACAGACAGCCCAGACCCTGCACCACCCCAGGCAGAAGCCAGGAGCAGCCACCTCTGCAGGACAACCAGACCCCATGAAGAGCAGGTAACTTGGCTTGCCCCTTCTGTCATTTCTACAAGCAATGCAGCATGGCATCAGGGGCTCAGACCATCTGAGCCTTTACAGCTCCCTCCTATCACTGCCAGAAAGAGCAGGAGCTTCACTAATTAAACACTAACGATGTTTTAAAAAGCCCCAGGTTTTGCTGAGCTCCTTCTATACCTAATTGCGCTTAATTTGCTGATCTGAACAGCACATCCCTACAGACCAAGTACTCAGAACTCTGCACCCCAAAGGCTGCACCAGCTCAACATTCAGAAATCATTTCTGAGACACCTTCGTTGTTTAGGAAAAGGAAGGGCCCAAATTCTAGAAGGACAGAACAGGCAAGACCTAAAACTCAGTGCCCTAAGGTCTCTGTGCTGCAAAGCCCTCACATTCCCTCACACCCACCAGTGGGGTTTGCAAGGAGTCCCACTATTGCACACCTCCAGGGCCATCCGCAACTCAGGGATGCAACAATATCCAAACACTTTCCCCACTTTCCTTTTACATCTTTGTGTCCTCCCAAGCAATGAAAAGTATCAGCAACAACAGAAATGTGATCTCTAAAAAATTCTGCATGTTCTGAAACCTCTCTGATGTTCAGCAAACATCTCCACAACTTTGCCAGGCTGGCAATTAGCTGTAGATGAAGAGAGCACAAGGCTGTTCTCAGGACATGTGCTGACAATAAACATCCAAAAGCACAGTATGTACAGCACATAACAGAACATGCTACAGCAGAGTATGCACTTCCCTGTTTGTATTTTAAGAGTCTGAGCTTTATCTGTCTTAACTAAGGATTTGCTTCCTCATTTCTAGATTAATGCACTAAAAAAGCTTAGATAAAAACCTAATTCATTAACAAAATCCACTACGTTCTTCCTTCAGTTCATTTCCTAAATGGAGAACTGGAAAGCCTGAGTTCTGGAGCACCCCTGAGGGCCCAGTCAGCAGTGCTGACCAAAGGCAGAAAACCAGGAAAATGCAGTAGCTTTGCACTGAGCCACTCTCTGATTGGTCTATTCCAGAGAGGCTAGAGCAGAATTCCCTTAGAATTACAAAGTACAGCTACATGAATAATAATTCAACAAAATTAAGGCTGTTAAAATAAGTCCGAGAGAAGTAATAACACTTAATTAAACATTACCTGTTCAGACAGAGTTTTGATCTAGCTTTGATTTCTGTTGCTAGAATAGAAGTTACCCTCAGTTCTTTTCCTACTCATACAAATTCACATCTACACGAACGCGACTTAACTCCTAACACATCCTATGAAATGTGTGTCCAGACATAATGCTTAGGAAATGTTACATAAATCATTTGCTTTTCAGGGCTGTTACCTAGCCCTGTTTTTACTTTTGTACATTATTTCCACTCCATAACATGAAATCAGCTTAGAATTAAAACTCATAGAGGAAAGTGGGAGGTTTCTGCTGAGGGAATCTCTCTGAAGCAACTCCTAACACATCCTATGAAATGTGTGTCCAGACATAATGCTTAGGAAATGTTACATAAATCATTTGCTTTTCAGGGCTGTTACCTAGCCCTGTTTTTACTTTTGTACATTATTTCCACTCCATAACATGAAATCAGCTTAGAATTAAAACTCATAGAGGAAAGTGGGAGGTTTCTGCTGAGGGAATCTCTCTGAAGCTGCAATCTTTTCAGCAGGACTCAAAGAGAAAGGTTTTATGCTACTCACCATTCTGCAATTTCAGGATGAAGGATTTTGTTGTTCACGTTAAATCTGCAAAAACCCAAAAGACACTGATATTAAAAAGCAGCCAAAGACACAACAGCAGAGACAACATACCAACATTTTTTGTAAACTGTGTCTTCTCTGAGGAAATACAGTGAAAGTAAATGTGGTGCTGGAATTCAGCAGAGATCCTGGTGAGGAGAGCACACGCACTCACCTCACCACACTGGTGCTGACACACAGGAGACTAAAGCAGGTGTGTAACTTCAGGAGGTGCAGAGCCAGAGAAACAGCTTGGCTGAGACATCACCCTGCTGGGGCAGAGCTGAAACCTCCAGCCATGCATTCCCTGCCGTGAGTGTGGGTGGGCCAGACTGACCCCTAGAGCTCCCTCCCAAAGGATCCTGCGATTTGAGCTTTGGCCCCAAACCCCACCGTGCACTGCTGATTCCACCCTGGGCTTTGCCCTCCCACGTGTGCACAGAAGTGGCATGTGACAAACCCTGCGCAGAGGATGGTGGAAAGGAAACCTCTGCACGTCTTGGCCAATCCCCCCGAAGAGGCAGAGCAGCAGTTTCCATCTCACCTTGGCCTCTGACACTCAACTGCTTTTCTGTTTATTTTCTACATTAGCAATTCATGTGTGCTTGGAACGATTTTGAGGCTCTCTAAACAATAACATTACAGTGGCCAACAGAGTAAGCAGCTGAGTAATTAGGTGGAACACAAATGGATTTTCGAGCATTGTTCAAGGGTTTGTTTTGCTTACAATTTAAGTGCCTAAGGAGTGTTCTGCACTGAAGGTATTTCTGTCTGACTCAGAACTGTTGGCTCTTCAGTTTAAGAGAATTAAAACGCTCCAAGGCTCCCAACAGTTCTCCAAAACAATGCTGTAATGCAACAATTCATTTTCCCACATTTTTGAAGGAAAAATCAAATCTATTCCAGGTTATTAACCATTCTTTATACCTCAGAAGGGACCAACTAAAGCACAAATCCAATTTAAATAATTATTTTGAAGTCACTTCCAATTGTGCCAAGCTCTTCCTGCATCCTCTGAAAGCAGAAAAAAAACTGTGTTTCTTTTTTTTCAAAACAGATGCTTATAAACTTATAAAAACCTAACAAGGAGAAGGTTAATAGCTCTGTGTTCCTGTTCTAAAGTACAAAACAACAACTTATCACAGCACTGAACCAGGACAAGCTGTCTGGTACTCAGTACTATGGGTACTGATGAGAAAGCACTGGAAAAGCAGCACGATACAAAAAACCACCAGTCACAGAACAATGCACCAGCATGGAATCAAGCTGCTCCCTTGGAGCAGGAAAGCAGTGAAAGGGCATGTTTTCAATTTCATCAGTGGCTCAAAAATTATTACCTATGTACACCAATGCAGGTATAATTCTGGAGTGGAAGAGACAGTTAGATACAAACGTGTGCAGAAACAGAGGTACGAACGACATCGTAAGATCAATCTCTCAAAATTCTACAGCCCAGGAGCCTGCACTGCCTGCTGGAAAGCACACCAGGAACCCACACCACACAAACCAAGACACACAAGAATTAGGCTGCAGCTGGACTCACAGACACAGAAATTTCAACAGTTATCATCAGTATGCCAGGCAGAAAACAAATCAGTGAAGAAAAGTGAAGGAGATGCTGCAAAAAGCTCCACCAGCAGCTCTGTGCAGTGAGAGTAAACTACAGTTACTGTGAATTAACAGCAGAAAACACAGGGCAGGGAAGGGCAGGGACAGAAGGCAGGTGACTGACAACTCCACCTTGAGAACCTGACGTGCCCACTCTAACCACAAGGACAAATGGATGAAATCAAAAGCAAATCAAGTGAGCCAAACACGAGCCCCACAACAGAAGACTGTCCCATCTAACCATTAAAACAGAGGGGAAAAAATTGTACACCAATGTACAATAGCCCAAATAATGCTCCTTTAGGAAAGCCAGTTCAGCTGACAGATGTACCATCTTCATCCCAGTCCTTGGATTTTACCTTTCCTGGCCATAAAGGCTCCTCTTGAACTCTCTTTGTGCTGCCAGAAATGCAACTTTTACTTACTGGCTGAGCCCACCCACGCTGTGGCACTCCTTAAAATGCTGGCTGCTGTCAGCTGGGGCACTACTAAGGGCAGGGAGAGGCAGCAGGATTGATGCTGGTGGGGGTGAAGAGGCAGGAGGTCATCAGCTACACGGCAGTTTTATCTCACAGGTGAGACAGACTCTGATGTGATGTCAAGTAGAACACAACATGTTAGACCTCTGGGACACAGCATCAATTGATACATGGGAGAGAATCCATCCTAGGTCACTTTGTCAAGGAAGTCAAGGATTAAGGATTGCACTGTCTCAACCCCACTTAGCTCCTGGGAGCTGCAAGCTTACAGCTGACACTGCTGAAGCTGATGGCCCCAGTCATGCTCCACTCTGGTTACCAACAAGGCAGCTAAACAAACCACATCCCAAAAGCTACTGGTTAAATACCAAGCTCAAGGGGCAGAGCTTGTCACCACCAACAGGAGTATACAAAGGGTGTTTAATTCGCACAACTTGTACACAAAGCCCCACATCAAACCAGCCTACCCTGGTCTCCCAGCGAAGTTCTCATCTCACTAGGCAGTAAACAACTTGCTCTTAGAAAACATGCACTGCCCTAACGTTAAGAGGATCAGGCAGAGCAAGCCTTCTCCTGCAATTTGCAAATTGACAATACTTAGATGATGAGATTTGTGCTCCTGAGGAAGAAAGCAAATTGACATTTGCTACAGCTGCAATCTGTAACATATTAATACTCCATTTAATCACCACAGAGCTAAGAAATACCACACTTAAGGCATGTCCAAACTGATTTCATACTCAGTTGTCCTTTAACATGCAAGACAAATTCACTACTTAAAAAACCCCCTAGAAATCTACACCTCCTGTATAATAGCTCTGTATAATGAGATCTTCTTTGTCAGTTTAACACATACACTTTGTGTGTCTACAGAGATAAAATCTAAAATATATTCATACACAATATTACAATCTTCTCTTCTTCACCATGGCAAGATTTTCTCCTAACAACTGACTCTGCTGCACCACCTGAAAAAGGCCATTCAGATGGTCTGCACTTCACACCCAACAAGTGCAGTTCTGAGGGAAAGGAATCCACTGCAAAGCTTGAAACATTAAGTCAAATTGCTTAAACTGTCCATCACCTGCATCAGTTGATTCTGAGAATGACGCAAACCTGCCAACACAGCAAGCAAAGATTTCTTCAACACCCTTTTAAGGTGTATGGCACATTTCTGTTCAACCACACAGGTTCAGCATCACCTTCTCTATGGTGAGTAATAACCTCTGAACGCATTTCCACAGGGGCCACATAACTGACATGATTAGCATTTAAAATATCCTGCACATCTTCCAGTCTGAAAAATGGGACCATGAACTGGAAAAAAAAAATAAAAATCAAACACAGAACTAGCCTTTATTAGCAAGCAGAAATATACTCTTCCAGAGAAGAATGCATCGAGCTACTTTAGAAATCTGCCATCAGGAGCAAGTCACTTCTGCAGGACCAGTCACAGCTCAGGCAGCTCTGGCCTGAGGAGTCCCAGGAGCAGCACCAGCACAGCGCCCAGGTGTCCTCCCCAAGCTCCTGTCCTGCTTCCCCTGCCCTAGGTGATGCCCACCACCAGCCTCCCTTCCACGGGCTGCAGCTTCTTGTGTACAGCACACCCAGAGAGCTCCACACAAACCAGGGAAACCATGACATAACCCACTAGTATGGGCTCTATCATCAGGATGAGATCAAGTTTGATTATTGCTAGCAGGACAAAAATAACTTAGGGGTGATCCTCAGGATGAGCACAGAAATAGCCTACAAGCACAGGAGTCATTGTGTCCCAGGTGACTATTTATTACAGTGGAAAAATTAATCAAATAGCTTAGGCAATAATGTTCCAGAAGAAGTTCAAAAAGTAAGGGAGGGAAGCAACATCATTAGGGCAAATATTCCAGTCCCAAAGGTAGAAATGGAAGTATGAAGATGGCTGTATTTGGGTTCAGACAGCTAAAGCAAACACAGAGAAACACTGGATTATCTCAGATGCAAAAGAGATTTTGAAAAAACCTCACTGTATTTTCAGGCACTAGAAACATGGATCAAAATTTCTGTGACACCTGAGCTGCCACTCAGCACCTTGTATTGGGAAAAGGCAATATGAAATGGATTCAATATAAATATGTAATAATTAATGCATAAGAAAGCTTTGTCACTTACTGGCTGATCCCCTCAAATGAAGCTTCCTTGGAGATATTGCCACTGTCAGTATTCACACCACGCTGGAAGGGAAGAGATGAAGAGGATCAGGATTCTGAGCCAGGCACAGGCATTTCAAATTTAAACCCTGGGGACACCCTGACTGCAGTAAGTCCCTAGGAAAACTTACACGTAAGTTTACAGGAATCACTGTAAAAAAAAACACCCCAGGGTGTGTGTTCAAATGAAGCCCAGGATAAGAAATACTCAGTTCCACAGACTAGCACAGAGCTCAGGGCAGGATGTGCTGCACAGAGAACAGAAAAGCTGTGATTTTGATGCCCTTGTATCTTGAGAGGGAGCTGGGAGGCCTACACAAAAATTACATCGAGCAGGAGAAAGAAAAACAGGCAAAGTTTCCTCTGAAGGAATTTAATTTAGAAATAAATTCTTGGGCCCTGCCCTGGCAATGCTTACTATTTACATTTGCTTGCTGCTGCCCCACAGCTTTCCATCCCAGCCAGCAGCACAAGCAAGAGCATTTTGGCTGCTACACAGCAGATGAACACTTCTGCCAGGTGCCTGGGCACCCTGAGCAGCAGAGCTGCAGTTCTGTTCTGGAGTGAGACCACGAGAGCTTTCCATTCAGCCAGTGGAAAGGGAAGAGCTCCTTCCCTCTCCAAGTACGTCACGGCAGTGGGAGGAGTGTGAAGGCATCACAGCACCATCCTCTCAGCCAAATCTGTGTGAAAATTCCTGATTACAACAGGATGTTCACAGAGTAACAACTACTCAACAGCTCCATGTGCAGAAACGCACAGTAAGAAGCACAAGATGGTCAAACACCCATTTCCCACTCATTTCTCATAAAGAACACAACATTAACCATAGGGCACCTGGTACATGTATGTGTGTGCACACAAACATAAGTGGAGAAAGACTGGAAACTGTTTGGGGCCTCTGCTCTCAGTGGATATAGGATTCAGACCTCAGGTCATGTGGCTGCTTGAGGAGGGATTTTATTTTAAGGCTTCTGTCTGGTCACTATCATGGGAAAACAAGAAATCCAGGAGCTGCCACTGCATTTGCTATAAGGGAAAGCTCAAGTCAGCAAATCCTTTCTTAGACAGATTGGAGATAAAGAAACAGATACTCTTAATAGTGAGTTTCTAAACACCTGTAACCCAGGGAGGCAGCTGGGAGAGACGTGATGGGGAAGAAGAAACTTGCAGTCTACCTCCACTCATTCATCTTACTCCCAGAGAAACAAGCAAGCACCACTCAGAATACTTGGCAGGCATTTGATATTGTCTCCCTCCCCCCAGCTGAGCTCACTAAACCACTCTGAGCAGACAATGTACTCCCCAAATGCTCGTGGGATTCCCACAGAAAGGCCCAAACGCCAGGCCTGGGGCAGAGGGAGGGCGAAGGGAGCTCGGAGTGGCTGCAGACAGACTGGGAGCTGCCGTGGCTGGTCTCACATGGGCTTGTCTTGTTTGCCAGAAAACCACTAAAGCTTCTGGCAGACAGAATGCAAACTGGGCAAGGCCAGAGGGTGCACATCTTGGAATCCTGGAGGGGCAAACGACTGTACTTACACACAGCTGGCCTCAAATTCGGCCAAGATGGGGAGGAAAAGAGAGGGAATGACAGTGCACAGAAATGCTGAACAAACTGATCTCCTCATTGAAGAAAACTAGAAATTGTTCTTAGGAATGTGACTTACCAAAGTGAGAAGCACAGCAGGTTTCTTCGAAGCCAAGACACTGGATATCTAAAAAGAAGGTTTACACTGCTGTTATTTTTAATGCCTTACAATCACATTGATGCCAGTTGCACAAATATTCCCTGTACATAATGAGCTGCAGAGACAAAAATGTCCCTCTGATACATTTCAGATACTGCAGCATTACCTGAGACATGCAACAAGAGACAGAAGATCAAAACATATTTAGACAGTTGATTTGAAAATCCCAACTCCACCTTTTTTGTTTGTTTGTTCTTCCCATGAAACATCAGGATTACACACTTAGGTTGGTTATTCACTGACAAAGCCATCCTGTAAACAAGGCCCCTGGTGTCTTGATGGTGGAAAACCAACTCCTGGGCACATCAGGCAAAGGTTATAGGAAGAACCTTTGAGAGCTGATCAGGCTCATGGCAAGCTCCAACAGCTTCTCACATCAACACATGCAGTCCAGGTGGAGAGCAGACTTTACTTTCTAATTTTAGTTACTGGTCCACATAAAGAGCTGTTTTCCCCATCAAGGAGGTTCTCAAGCAGTAAGGAAGCAGAGAATAGAACTGCAATAAAGACATTTGTTGATGGGAAATGACCTGAAACAACTAAAGTGACCCCCAAAAATGTGATTTTTAAGAACAAAACATGTCTTTTCAACCTGCACTTCGACTGTCTGACAGATGAGCACTGAAGTGCCTGACACTGCACGACTCCAACTCACACACGTCAAAAAGCAACCTCTCCACAGCTTCCTCCACTCCCACTTCTCACATGCCCCTCCAACTTCACTTCGTGGCTGGACTCATTATGAAAATGAACTGAAACATCCTCACAGCTGAGAGCAAAATTTTTGGTCTAGAGAGTCAGAGTTAGTGCTCTACAGGGACAGAAGAATCAGAGTCTTCTTTTTCAAGCTGCTCTCCTTGAAAATCACCCACAGAGCTTGGCAGGAATACTGTCCTCACCCTGCTGAGCCTTCCTACCCAAGGAAAGAGAACTGGCCAAGTGCACAAGTTTACAAACATCTGCTCAGAAATGGAATGAGAAGCCTAAGTAAGCAGGTCACAGCTGCATTTAGATGTGTGAATACATTTGCTGTTCCAGTCAGGGGATGATTCCACAGAAAGCAAAGCGAGGCAGGCAGCCTCTCCCAGAACTGGGCCATGCAGCCTCCCTGACAGCAGACCCAGCTCTCCAAGCACTGCAACGACTGCACTTAGTGACATGTTTTGGCTGGATAAAGACACAGACCGACAGGTCTCACCATGCACAGAGCATGTTTATCAGACTCCCTCCCAATTCAGAGCTCAGTGTCCAGCTCAAAATGGCAGCCTTAAAAAATAATAATTCCTAAGTGCTTTATGAGAGAGAAGAACTTTGCAGTAACAGCAGGAAGGGAGAGACAGTCCCATCAAGTCAGGAGACATCCAGTGAGCAGAGGACTAAAATTGAGTAACATCATTGCCACTTAGAGATTTTGGATTCACAGAACAAAATACTCAGATGCACAGAGAACTCACCACGGTCACGTAGTGGACTTCATCCACAGCATACTTTTTCTTGAAGAATTCAGGGGGATGAATCCTTTGGGAAACAACAAACAAATATTTTGTTTCAGCTTTGCTGCTGTATTTAATAAGGCCACAGACAAAGAAATAATGTTCTTTACTACCACAACAATAGAATCAGATATGAGGAATGTTTTAATAATCTTATCCTTGACTCCGTTCCTCAAAACAGGAGATTACACAGGAAGTTGCCAGGGCTACAAAAATCACTGTGCTTTAATCCAGTCCTCATTTGACAGTTAAGATTTCATGATCTCCTCTGAATTAAAGGGGCTTGTTCCCATCCTATTCAAGAAAGTTTTGTTACAGATTTTTGCCATGCCATTTGTATACAACTTCCCACATCACCAAATTTTGGAAGGATGTGGAAATAGCAAAAGACTGGTTTGCTCTGTGTTACGTTCAGAGAGTGAACAAAACAGTCATTTCCCACCTGGGAACCACTCTGAGCAGACTGAGGCTCTGATGCCTCTGTGATGACACCAGACACCCACTCCTCTAACCCAGCAGCGTGGGCAACTTTACCTCGCCATGTCCAAAACTGAATCTCTTCTGCTCTTTTCTCCCAATATCCAACCAGAGATCTTTTAATGATGCAAGCAGAGTGCCAAGGACCTGCCTCCAGTCGGTGCCTCCAGGGCAGCTGTGCTGCTGCTCACTGCCTCACTTATGGCAGCAGTTACTCATGAGGCTTCACTTCTGATTACAACCTCTGTCTCCCCAAAACTGAAATACGTATGATCAGTGTAATTCTGAAAATGCAGTCTCAAAAGGAAAAAAAAGGAAAACCAAACCACACATCTCACATCCTTCCACCGGGTAAAGAAAAGAGGGGGGAAAACACCACACCTGGGAGAGCCAGAGTTTGGAGGATCCCATGCATCCCAAAAGACAGCAAGAGAGCAAGAGGTGTGCACGACCAAACCTTCAGCGGTGTCAAGGTTACGCTACGAGAGCGTAAGACCAGCTGGGGAAGGACAAAGGACACTGGAGACCAAAGGACACTTCACCCCTCGCAGTGAGGACCAGCAGAGGTGTGGAGACAGCTCCACACCGAGGGCACCTCAGGACCAGGGGCTGGAGCACTGACCCATGGCACTCTGTCAGCCTGGTTTTACACTCCTTCAGGCTCCAAACACTACTGGGCTGTGACATGAACAACAGCACAAAATGTTCATGGTGACCTCACGCAGTGAATCACAGACTTCTAAAAATGTATTCACCTGTGAAAGTACTACTCAAAAATACCTCAGAAATATCTCACTCTATGCTCCCTTTGCAATGCTCCTTTTGTGGACTCTTCCCACAACTGATGGAGATTTCAAAGCAATTATCATTTCTCTTTTCTCCCTGGCTAATTTCACATATCATTAACAAAATCACTAGATCTCTTATCTTTAGATACCCTGTATGGTACAGTTCCCTCACCTCCTTTTCCCTCCCTTCACTCCTCACGCGCTGAGGTACTTTATATTCCAGAAACATGATGAACGGATTTAGCACTTTCCCTTTTTGTTCTCTTTTGCAGTTGCAGCCAATTCATCTGGTATCAGAGGACTCCCAGCTGTAAAACTGCTAATTTAGGGCCAACGGTAACTCAGGGTAACTCACGCTCTCTAGAGCAATACCCCCAAAGCACTTTCCACAAGCAGCTGCATTGTCTGAATCAAGAACTGTTTCTTGTAAAGCAAATACTTCTTCAAAGTGTGCCCACAAATGTGCTGGGGTTTGTTCACTTGATGCAGTGAAAGTAAGAACAGGTTTCATTTTCCTTCACTCCAATAAGAAAACTTCAACCTTTTCACAAGCTGCTTTTCAACTTCTTGTTGCTGCTAGTTGTCTCCTCTAATTGAGTGGCTACAGCACACTGCTAATTTAATTCCTGGGTTATGGTTAATATTAATCCATTATTGATTCAGTTCCAGCTGTAATCCCTCCAACATCTCCTTGCATGTACACTATGACTCTTCTGAGGAACAAAAGTAGCTCATCATTCTTTCAAGGCCGAGGATATTTTCTCTACTTTGAGAGAAAGAAAACAGCATTTTCCCATAATCCTCCATCCTCTCAGTTATTAAACTAGGTCATCTTCCAGATACTTCCAGCTCCATCACACCTAATGACAAGCTGCCACAATTCCCAGATGTGTACCTCCCTGTTCATCTTCTTCTTGCAATCTCACTCCGAAGTCGGCAAGACTTTGAGCAGGAAGCAGAGAGCCAGACTTCTCAGCTCTCTGCATCCTCACAGCTCTGCCACACTTTTTGTACAGCCATTTAGCACCTCCGACTAGATGGTAAAATAAATTCATATTCACTTCCCACAAGTTACCATTCCCTTCCCATCCCACGGGAGCCACGATGCCTCAGTGATGCAGCTGCCTCTCCCACCGAGGACGTTTCTAAGACCAACCACACAGGTGCAAGGAAAAAACTGCACATCAAAGTCGACATTAGAGCAGAAAAATTCTCTGCTGTCACATACACAAAAGCAATACAGAAAGCAAAGCAGAAGCTCAGTACTCTTTCATCCAATTCCAATACAAAACAGGCTGAAGTCTAGCACTGACCATCACCATCACAGGGGTTATCTTCCACAAAATGCTCACTGGCATCATGAAAAGCAGTTATGGTAATTCCAAGTATATCTGATGCTTCCCAGAGAAAAGTGCTTCCCTGTATGAATGACTCTGGTTACAGTTTCTAGGTTTGGCTCTGCCTTCGAACGCTGCTATGGGCTGCCAGGCTCAGAATTCTGATTAATCACTGCGCAGACTACGTGCAAATACCCACAGCAAGCCATCAATTAATTAGGAGGATTGCCCAAGTGGAAGATATGATCCCAGATATTAGTGAATCATGGCTCCCTACCTATCAAAAACCAAACCCCAACTCCTTTGTAAACAGATGTGAACAGAAGCAATGACCTAATTTTCACAGGCTTCAGGCAGGGGTGGGAGGTGTGCACAATTGCTCAGATTCCCTGACAACATAAACTGGCAAAACCCACAGACAGTAAAGAACTGCAGCCCTAAAAAGGCTCAATACCTTCTCCCAATAGCTTTATAACTCCAGCCAAGCAAATACCAGTGTGAGTTAGAAATGTCAATACTTGGCTTCAGGAATAGCAGGAGTGACCATTTTATGCTCTAATGGAAACAAGCACCTCCAGACTCCTGGAACAGCACTGTCCCTGAGGATGCACACCCAAGCAGCTGGCAAAAACCTGGCACAGCACAGTGTGTGGGCACTGGAAAGAAAACACAGAAGAGTCCAGCACTGCTCTTTATTTACAGGAGTACAGTGCTAATTTTTCTCATTTTCTGTCACAGAGGAACCCTTAGACAAGAGACTGTCTCTAGTACAGTAAAACCTCCCATCAGCTGTACTTCATGTGTCCTTATGCACATTGAACTCAAAAACCACCAGCAAAAGAGGAAGGGCACATAGTGCTAAAACTAGTAATCAGTGCCAGTCGGTGGGTCTTAGTGAAAACTTCCAGGTTTAGAACAAACTTCTTCATTTGGTATAACTGAATTCACAGTGGTACATCACAGGCTGTTTAAAAACCAAGGTGTTTCACCAAACCACAGCCTAATCACACCGGTGCAGATTTCGCCAGAGCACGGTTACGAGTGGCTCCACTTAGATGTGATCCTCAAACAGAAATGTAATACTGACTCTTCTGCTTACCCATCAGTAAGATGAACAGTTGTGACAGCCTCTCTATAAACACACCAAAAAGATACATATTTTGAAGCTTTTTTTATAGTTGGACAAAATTCAAATCTCAATTTCTCTGCAGTATTTGTATTTGTATGCAGTATAAAGCTGTATTTCCACTTTAAACACAATAGAAAACTCGGTCTCATTGTCTAAAATAATTTTCAACCTGTTGTTCATTACATTGCACAAAAATTCATAACAGCAATTCTTCAGAGACTTGTACAAATTTGACACTGCTGTAAGAATTCCATTAAGCAACATTTCTTTGCATTCTGAGGACTCTGGAGCAATAGCCTCGTAACACCAACACGATGTGAGAGTGTTCCAGCTCTCAGAACTGCATTCAGAAGAGAGGTACAAATGAGATGGATCTAAATCACAAACGCCGAAGACACACTGTGAGCAGAATTGATAACAGCTGATAGCTGTTCCTCAAAGAGACACAGCCAAGCCAACTGCTAATATATTTGCAGCCTAATTGCTGCTATACATTCATGTGTATGTTTTCATTTGCATCTAAATGTTCTTCCAAACTTCAATATACAGAACTAATTCCTACTGGTTGCCTTGTATTCCATTTTTAATGCTTCTAGCACAGACTTTCAGTGTTGAGTTTTTACAGTGGATCAGCTCTAAATGAAATTCAGCTTATTCTGAAGTCATTCAATTTAGATTTTCTGCAGCATTTCAGCTGGAGTTCCCAGCTCAAGATTACTTATAGCCTAAACTATTCCTGTTGGAAAACAAATATTCCTAAAGGTAGTTCATTAGAAAAACTAGAGAAACCATAATTGGGAGCAATTTCAAACCATTTCCTACAGATTACACACTTTGCTGCTGCATGGTTACAGACACACACCAGACAGAGGTGCACACAGACACCTCAGCCATGCCCTGACCAAGCCACCAGCAGGATGTCCCGAGCTCCCACAGGGACATGGACAACAAAGCCACTCTGAGGCTGTCGAGGATGTCGTGGAGGAGGACAGCTAGTACTGGCACAGGCAAGACAGGCCATGCTGAGGACTGTCTGCTGCAATTAAAATACAGACCCACAGCTTACTGTCCTTCAGATCCACAGCTCCTGGCAGCTACCAGAAAGTGATGCTCCCACAAGCAGGAATTTAAAGTGAGAATGAACATAGATGGAGCAATAACAGAAGAGACAAATATTAAAGACTCTGATAATGACAAAGTCTGGGGTAAAACAGTTTCTACACAATGATGTTCAGGGTACAGTACTCTTTTAAGATTCTACAAAAATTATTGACTAAAATGCATGAAAATCTGT